ACTGACCACTAGGGGGCAGACACTCAATGCAGAAGCTGCCCCCTGGTGGTCAGTGTGCTCCCACAGGGGGAGTGCCACTCAGCCAGAAGCAGGGCTCATGTGAGAGGGCACAGGCCAGGCTGAGGGAACCTCTCCCCCCCCCCCCCCCCCAGTGCATGAATGCCATGCACCGGGCCTCTTGTGTGTGTGTGTGTGTGTGTGTGTGTATACACACTAGGCAGGCATTGAGAAGAACTTCAAATAATTGAAACGTGAGCCTTACTCTGGAAGAATTGACACTATATTAGGATGAGTTCTGTTAGGAATACAAAATGCTCTGGAAACAGTAATATATGGGATGGAAACACACTAAACATATGGGATGAGTTATTACTTTGCAGGTGAGTGGGGATAAGGTTAAAAAATAAATAAATTACCTACAGCACTTTTTCAGAGAAAGAACATAATTATTTTAATAACAATTTTGTGATATTATTCACATAATATAAAATTCATGCCTTTTAAATGTACAGCACAGTGGCTTTTAGTATATGTCCAGAGTCACATTACCATCATCACAATCTAGTTTTAGAACAATTTTATTATCCCAAAAAGAAACCCTGTACCCATGACCAGTGACTCCCTCATCTCCCCTCCTATCTTCCAGTCCTAAGTAACCACTAATCTACTTTTTGTCCCTATGCACTTACCTGTTTCCACATTTTATAGTAATGGGCATTTATGTCTGGTTTTTTTCACTTAGCTTGATGTTTTCAAGATTCATCCATGTTGTAGCATGTATCAGTATTTCATTTTTATTGCTGAATAAGATTCCAGTATATGGATATACAACATTTTATTCACCCATTCACCAACTGGTGGATATTTAGGTTGTGTCCACATTTGGGCTATTATGAATAATATTGCTGTGAACATTCATGTACAAGTTTTTATGTGGACATATACTTTCAGTTCTCTTGGGCATATACCCTAGGATTGGGATTGCTGGGTCATATGGTAACTCTATGTTTAACATTTTAAGGAATCACCACATTGTTTTTCAAAGTGGCTGTACCATTTCATCATTCCACCTGCAGCATATAAGGGTTCCAACTTCTTTACATCCTCGCCAATACTTGTTATTATCTGAAAACAGAATTGTTTTGAATGAAAATATAAAGTCATTAAAATAGAAAAAATTCCAATTAGATTATGTTATACTCACTTAAGGCAGCCCATATATGTCACGTGAAACCAGAACCTACAGCTGAATGCCACTTTGTAGCTCTGTATACAAAACAACTCTGTTGGAGTCTAATTATCTTATCATTAATGTTCACCAGGTGCTTAGGAAATGCTGGTTTTTTTCATGTCTAATTGAGAGGTTAAGGATGCTGAAGTGATTGTATGTGTAATGCTGTTGAAAGTTAAGTCCATTTCTGACATGCAATTAAATATAATGGAAATTGAATCACAAAATTAAATTTGCAAAATAGAGTATGCACAGATATTATTAAATGTATGCTGTCCTCTCGGCATTTGGCTATTAAGTTGGCATTGGTGCTCCAGCCCACATTTTTCCTTACCTGGCATGGTTCCCACCTGCCCACACTTGCCTCCTCTACTTCCATACCTCGGCATATCAAAGGAGTTCATGAGACAGTTCCTGACAACGGCCCGTGGAGAGCAGATTGTTTTATGAAGTGCTGGCGTTTAATGTGGTCAGGAAGGAAAATCAGATTCTCCAGTGCTGTGCAGCTTTCTCAGACTCAGATTTGTTTTTCACAAATCCAGGAGACCTGACAATTATAGTGTAAAATTGAAGATGCAAGTCTGACAGTCACTCCCCCGCCCCTTGTCCAGCTGGTCAGTGGCTTCCCAGCGCCCACCTCTCCAAACTCGGCTGTTGCTGCTCTATCTGTAGTAAATATTTGTCGTTCCCTGAATGCTCACTGTCACACTCTCTTATTCTCCTGCCAGTGTCTAGGTTCCTCTGTTGGGAGCACCCTTGTCTCTCTGCACAACTCAATATAGGCCCCACCTTCGCCAGGAAGCATTTCAGAGCCACCTAAGCTCTGCTAGGTCCCAAGGCATCGATGTGGGTGCCTTTTTCACTGCGGTGAACAAAAACAGAAAAGGTCCTTGGCCTTGTGTAGATTACATTTTATCTGAAAAAGACAGAAAATAAACAGTAAACATAACTAAATACCTGCCTTGCAGAGTACAAGAGGATAGGTGTAGGAAATACACCAATGGTGCAGCGTAGTGATGGGCAAGGGACAGGTAGTGGAAAGGTGGAATGCTCCATTAAATAAGGTGGGTGGGTGGCCTTGCTGAGAAGGCCTCATGGGATGAGGGATCTGCCTTGTGATATCTTGGAAAGAGCTTCCCAGGCAGAGCCAACTGCCAGCCAGTGAAATGATCCACGGTGAGAGCATTTCAGTGAAATTGATAAAATTCTAGCCATCAAGGAAGTTGACCAGTCAGTTTTCCCCAGTATTTTTTCTGTAGACAAATATATTTTTCCATTTGGATTTTTGAAATTCTAAAGAGTCTGAAGACAAATCTCTTTTTGCCCCCCTCCCCCCCTACCCAATACACACTTTGAGGACTAGTACTAATCTAGAGCTCCCAGTTAGAACTTCTCTATTCCTCAGTTGTGTGCGTCGTATCTTCTTTCTCCACCATAAGATCTGGATTCATCCTCTGTGGAATATATGCCCCATAATTGCTTCCTCGGGACCAGTCCTGCTTTTGTTCTTCCTTCTCTGAGCCACATTCCTTTATGTTCTGGCTTCTCTTAGCTTTTCACTTCCTTTCATATCATCACCTGGTGTTTCCTGGGTTTTCATTTATGCCAAGTCTCTAAATACTGTCTGTGAATCCTCCATCCTATTTGATAAACCAGAGTGAAGTGTTCTTCTAGCTGCTTCTAGCAGCTTGTGTTCAGTGGGTGCATTCCTGGTCCTTCCCTTTCAAAAAGAAGGAATCTAGCAAAGCCCTTGAACACTGTTTAAAAACCTTTGCTGTTCCCACCTATAATGGTTACGACTGGGTTTGGGAGATAAATACTCTTGGCCACTAAAATGTTTAGAGACACTTCTGCCACATTTCTGACTGTTTTTCACTGCTATCTTTTAGGCAACATGTTTTCTCATGTCCTCATTTTAGATTTCCAGTTGGTTTTGGAAGTAAACACTAGGGGTATTTTCATTCATCTGGAGCTTCTTGCTCTAATAGTAATCTATGTTGAAGGAATAATTGACTCAAGACCTATAAATGTGTGTGTGTGTGTGTGTGTGTGTGTGTGTGTAGATAGATAGATAGATAGATAGATATTTCTGCAGCACAAATATATTTTCTTCTTTGTGTGTGTCTCCTTTATTTCTATACATCAGAAACTTTAAATGTCTGAAGATCATCTTGTTTTCCTGGAGTGTCACACCTTGGGACTTCTTCACAACCTGCACTTCTTAAATAGAGATGGTGGAGGTTTTGTTGCTTTCCCCCCAACATAGTTATTTCATGCTCATGGGCGATAATTGATCTGGAGTTAATTGCCTAGTGCTTGCTTCATGGTCAGTCTTTGCATATATATATATATATATATATATATATATATATATATATACATATATTAGGGAAGGACATACATTATCTATGGATTTTAGAGAAAGTTTTATTTCATCTTATATCTTATACATTATTACTGTGTCTAAATTGTGAGTAGCTGTTCACTTTTATTCTTTTAGTTTAAATTGTTAAACAAAGTCACAATTGTACATAATGTAAAAGTCAAAAATACTGACAATGGTTATCACAGAAAAACAGCATCTGTCATGCCATCTCGGCCGCCCCTCCCCAGCTCTTCTTAGCCCTCCCCACCTGTGATGGCCTTTTTAACTTCATTACCAGTGTTTTCTGGTGTTTCACTCCAGTTTTTCACATCAGATGAATATTCTGGCATCTCTAGATTTTTACTTTTTATTTACTGTGGAAAATGAGGATATAGCCTAGAAATACCTCATTGTCCCAATATAGTTATGTCAAATGCTATGTTGTATTCAGAAGGAAAGATTGCATTGATTCTAAAATACTACTAGAGTGTAATATTTTAGAAAGTGAAAAAATGAATTTTCATAATGTGTTGACAAGGAACTTCATTTAAAGCAAAATATTAGAGCCAGGAGGTGTTTATGTGCATAATTTAAGAGGATAATACTAACAATAATTTTGACTTAGCTATAGTATTAAAATAGCACATAAGAAAATCTTCACTTATTCTTATCTTGCAATAGTCAAGGGCTGACTTTTATTGTTTTTAAATTCTAGTCAATTAGAGTTTTAGTCACCAAACATTTTATAGGAGCAGGGTGAAAGTTTAACCCTACCTAAAAGAATAAAAGTACTGAAGACGGACTTTTCTGAGAATCATAGATTTGCATGAAAAACCTCATGGGGAAAAATTGTAATTGCCTCAGCATGAGAAATGGAACATATTTTAAGATAATTGGAGACTGTCTTTTATGTGTTCTCTGGTTTAGTTTTGATTTCATGTACTTTAATTTGTTTCAATCTCTTAATTTGGTTCTTTATATATCCTAAAGAATGTAAACACTTCTGAGAATTTCGTTACTACTTGTGAAATTGCCTTCTTCTGTACCACTAGGTATAATATTTTGTCAGTCTTATTAGAAAAAAGTGTTTTAGAACAGCTATTATATTTCAGCAATATGACCTAAAAGTACATTTTGTGTAAGCTTAGTATGCTGTCACAATTCCTTGTAAAATGGCTTTGTTTTGTTTTTGCATTTTTAAGTTCTACAGGAATCATCTTTTTGCTTTTATTCATGTGTAATCATTCATATATGTAAAATTTATATTTTTCACGTCTAACTTTGCTTAAATGCTGGTAGTTAGTCATTCCTGTGACAAGTGTGGTGGGAAGTCTAATTTAAGATGTTCCATTACTTGCTGAACACATTAGTTTACAAATTCAACTTTTGCTTCTCTTTGCAAAGGCACTGAGACGTGAGTTAAAGGAGAAGGAATATTCTGTCCTGAATGCAATAGACCAAGCTCGAGTTTTCCTGGCTGATCAGCCGATTGAGGCCCCCGAGGAACCAAGAAGAAACATACAATCAAAAACAGGTGAGACTGTTTTCCTTTGTACACCATAACAACACATGTGAGGAGCACAAATAACCAAAATCCAGTAGGAAATGTCCCTAGAGCATTTCAGGGTCTGACATTATTTCAGGATTGGTCATTACATTTTTTTTTATTCTGGAAATAACTGAATCAAATTTTATTATTTAACAAATGTCTAGCTTCTTATATGACTGTGTACCTCAATATTATTTTTTTCAAAAGGAAATTAACTACAGAAAATTTGATTTATTAAAAAACACATTGAAACTAAAAGTAATTTCTTTAAGAAATAAAAATGTACATGTCTTATATTTCAACAAATTACATAGTAAATAATTGCAAATAGAAAATGGTATTTAAATACAGTAGTACATGTATGGAATATTTAAAATCTATAGAGATTGTTATAAACTTGTATTTTTCAAGATTACTTTTTAAAATAAGACATTAAAGTGCCTTTCTGTTACAAGCACCTGACAGACTTTATTTAATTTAAAAATAACAACCTGTACTATTTATGCACTTTGGTTTAAAATGGAAATAGTAACTACCTTACTAGCAAATAGCAATAAATCACATAAATTTTGGCGCCAGCATATGTCCTTATTATGATACTTCACTGTTGGCAATAAAAGCATTTTGATGCATTTTTAAAAACAAACCCGCCATTCAAAATAGTTCTCAGTCACTCACTTCACATAGTGAAAGCAGACCTAAGCGTCGGCCTCCTGCTGTGTCCCACAGTGTGATTCAAGAGCATTTCTTACTTGTAAGGGAAGTACATTTGGAAAAGGCTCCCTTTGACTGCAGCTGGAACTGGACCAGGCCTTTGGACAGGTAGCCGTTTTCCCACTCAGCCTTTCTCAGGGAAGTTCTGCTTCAATCTGAATAAATTTCCCAAGGCCATGAATTCCTTGACCCTTTTAAATCTGGTTTTGTATGTGTGTCTGTGGGACACATGTGCAGCAGCACACTTACTGTCTTTTTTAGCATTAGCTTTTATTTTCTGCTGTGGTAACACTGTCTTCCCAGTCAGCCTACTGGGGACCTAAGTCATTGTCGAGTCTCCACCTTTTGACAATCCCACAGTCTCGGCATTGTTATTTCTATCTGTGAAGAATTATTTCCTCTGAGTACTCAGTTACATATGAATCATGCACACACATACCATATACATGTGAGTGATGCACATACAGACATGTACATAGTAGGTGCTTACTGCATAGCTGTTGCATGAATGGATGCCTGAGCTGAGCACTCTTGGGTATGGTAGGAAGTGATTAGGTTCAGGGCAGAGGGATGACCACGCTGGGCAGGACCAGCAGAAGCAGCAGCACAGCAGTGAGGGCTGTGCATCGGGTAGTCAGTCAGCCTAACCTGGGGGGTCAAGGGCTTGTGCCTGGAACGGAGGTGAGGAGCTTGTATATGCTGTCTGATTCAGATTACAGAGGCCCTGGAAAGTGCAACAGAATATTCCAAGTTAATACAGCAAGAAAGAAGGTGCTGTTGTAGTTGTATTTTTTTTTTAAGCTTGGAAGGAAAAATGAGAAGTTTACTTGTCTCTCCTTATCCAATTGAGAGTGTACCTTAAATCTGCTTTTCTCATCTCCTTGCTTCCCCAGCACTTTGCAGAGAACAGAGGAAGCATTTTTATAATAAGCTACTTCATAGCAGTAAGCAAGTGTTACTATGGCACTAATGCTTCACTTTGCTATAAATTTTCCTCCTCAACGGTCAGTCAGTTTAAGGAGTTAAAAAACACACATTGCTTTTTAAATTCTTATTTTGCTATTACATTCTAGATGTTCCTAAGTTCCATTTTCACATACTCTATCTGATAGGCAAGGAAAAAAAATCATGTAACTTTATGACTTTTTAAGTTTTATTTTCTTTTTACGATTGGCAATTTCCATACTTCTCCTATGCTGGCTGATTTTACCTGCTGTTAAAAGTAAATGAGAGAAAACTATCCATAATAGATTTTATACTTCTGTTGTTTACCATGACTCCGTGCCACTGCTATCAGAAATAGAGAGCATTTGAACATTAGTTACCTTGTGTAACGTTGAGTAAAGCACTCATTGTTGGAGGGCATGGAGTGGGGAGAAATCATATCATGGTTAGTTTTAAAATCTTCACCCAAGGATATTTTTTCCATTGATTTCTAGAGAGAGTGGGAGGGAGAGAGGAGAGAGAGATGAAAGGGAGGGAGGAAGGAGAGAGGGAAAGAGAAAGAGAGAGAAAAATCAAGGTGAGAGAGATACATTTATTGGTTGCTTCCTGCACACACCACTACCAGGGCTGGGGAACCTGCAACCAAGGTACGTGCCCTTGACTGGGCATGGAACCCAAGACCCTTCAGTTCGAGGGCCAATGCTCTAACCACTGATCCAAACTGGCTAGGGCTCATAGTATGATTTTTACAATTCTTTTTCGTAAGCATTGGTTTACTGAGTACACTCGGTGTACTGTGCCACATGGGCACACCAAAATGGAGTCATCTCTTTATTTTTAAGTAACTATTCCAGAAAAGACTTCTCTCCATGATTTTTCTTTCCCAATGTCTTTTTTCTTCCAGCTTCTTTTCTTCATTTTGTTCTATTATCGATTATAGTGTCATATGGATATTTATATTTTTTAATGGTAGCCTGTGGAGTTTTGGGTCATTACTGAGTAGCACAAGTATGAGCTGTTCTCAGGCATCTGTTGACTGAAAAATACTATAAAAAACAAGCAAACTATTTCAACTAAATGATTAGTTGCTGACAAAGAATCTCATCAGGTGTGGTTTGCTAGACATTTTCTTTTCCCCCTAATTTTACAGACATGTGATTGATTTGTAAAGTTGTATAAGTTTGAAGGTATATGGCAACACTTAATGCATTTGAATTTGTTTTTCATTTTATTTTAATCACCTGGATTAATCACCTCTCATCATCATTTATATTGATCTTGTGCTTATTTTTTATGTTTTTATTTATTTCAGAGAGGGGAAGGGAGAGGGAGAGGGATAGAAACATCAATGATGAGAGAGAATAATTGTTCGGCTGCCTCCCGCATGCCCCCCTACCGGGGATGAAGCCTGTAACCCCAGCATGTGCCCTGAATGGGAAGCAAAATGTGAACTCTTGGTTCATGGGTCAATGCTCAACCACTGAGCCACACCGACTAGGCTGTTCTTAAACCACTTTCTTATTCTCCTAACTATCTTAATGAGTTGGGCAGATCAGAGAGTATGGCTTCTTTTGAAAAAATAAAAACAGAAGTCCAAAAAAATATTGTTCTGCTGACCAAGATCATCAGCTGAAGTAGGGTAGATCCAGGAACAGCACTAATCCATGTTGGTGACCTTCTTAGCCCCCAGGTTTTGGCTGGCTTCTAACTCCTCCCTTCATTTTGATCTCCTCTCGCCCTCTGCTCATTGGCCACTGACCTCCGACCTAGCTCCTTCTTACTTTCAGTGTCAAGAACTTCTTAAACCTGCACAAATGTTTCTTGGCTTCTCCCATGTTCTTCCAAACTCCCTTGCTATTTTCAACCCTAAATTTGAATTCCTTTGAAAACCACACAACTGTATATTGATGGTAGCTAGCAAGACATCTGTAGGACCCAACCACAGTAGGCCTTAGCCCATTCCTGACCCCAAACCTCTTGCGTATATCAAGTAATAATGTGCCTTCTTAACTATTCATTACCTACAGCTCAAGTTGAAAGTCAAATTTGCACAGGGGGGTTAGAGCCTTAGGTCTGTATCCCTCTCTCCACACCACATATAGAGCAGGCAGGTGCATGTGCCAGTGCAGGTGCACGAGCGCCTGTGCACACACATTTTATGATTTGAGGTTATGATATTGGCTACTAAATAAAACTGCTAATGCTTTAACAAGGTATGTCACCTCTAATAGTGTTTAGAAAACTGTACAATTCATTGTAGATGTAGATGTAGGAAAGCACCTTTACTCTGTTTGGCTTTTGATTTTAAGACAAAAAATTTGCATTATTTTTTTCATATATTTCCCCTTCGTCTTCATTAACATGTATTCCAGTCCAGGCTTTACTATAACTATGACTATTATTTTATTCCAGGCTGTCTGAATATTATTTCTTTTTAGCATGGTGCAGTTGATTGGTTTACTTTGCTTCATTTCAATCGTAGTCAGAATATTACTTTAGTGTGGTCATGCTTTTATAGTTGTGTGTAATGTGTATAGTTGTGTATGGGTTTATTTATCCACAACTTCATATAGGTGTATATGGTTGTACCTATGATAACTGGTTACTAATGATCATCTTTTCAGATAAAATAGTATATATGGGTTATTGTTTCTCCTCTTTGATCTTTGATAGCTGGCAGTGTATATTTAGTAGTATTAATACTTTAATTCAGGGCATACTGTTTTAATCATTAAATATTTAACTATTAAATGTTTAATTAATAAATTGTACATGATATTTTAGAAAGCCAATTATTAGGACTACTTTTATCCTATATGAAATCTCATATGTTTATGGTACAACAAGTAATAAATGACATTTTTCAGTCTACTATGTCAATCCATTTTATGCCAGTATTAGCAAACTTGTGCAAATAAAATGTCATGATCATTAAACGAGTAAAAATATGAAATCATAAAGTTTAGTAGAAGTTACATTTATACTCATTCTCAGTATAACTTAAGTTTCTATTAAGAAGATGGCAGTAATTATTTCCTTGCATCTCATTAAATGAGACCAAATGACACTTTACCTAAATATTTAGGCTAGTAAAACTAATGGGTGTTTTTTCACACTGCATTTTTTGTTTTACTAATAACAGATTTATTAATTAGAACCCCATTTATTGTGAATGACAGACACCCTCATTCTGTAATCATGGGCACACAGGGAATGTATTAACCCCCAGAACCAAATTACAGTAAGGGCAAGGGCACAGCTGGCCACAACGACAGGAATGCCACCCAGAAGCCTTCTCTCCATGTCTTTCCTTCTGCCTCTTTCCA